AAATTTTTAGAAGGAGTGTCTTTACGTGAAGCACGGAAAAAAATTCGAAGAAAAAATTGTCAACTTTCTAAATTCAGCAAAAAACGACGATCTTGCCACCTACTCAATCTTTTCAAAACGCAAGACACTGGGCCTAGGATTTTCCTCGGAAGACATAAAATTTATCGATCGTGAGGTATCGTTCCTGTGGAAGGCCAAGGTTAATCAGCTCAATTTAACGGGTAATATCGTACCGGGCTATCTTGCACGGGGGGGGGCACCTAGCACTAGTTGGCCGACCACACCTTGTACTGAAAGTGCATTGTTAACCATGAGCGAAGGTGGAGTAGTAGCAAGCGGTGTCACCTAATCCACCCACGGTCAGAACGTTGGGTCTTACATCGACATCTACCCGATCCAATCGAACATAAATCCCTCTGAGGTCGAAAATTCGGAACCAGATTCGCCTAGGGGGATAAAAAACACAAACAAAACATTGACTTGTACATCGGCCAGCCCTGAGGGTTTGCGCGGGCCAAATGACAGCCAAATGCCACCATGTCACCGAATAGAAGTAGAATGCGTGGCGCATCTAAAAATGGGGTTCAAACCCAGATAATTTTATCCTTTATGTTTTTATCGTCTACCTCAGCACTCGTGTCGATTAACCTGTTCCACACCCGCTTTTTGCCCATTCATGCCCATTTCCTGTTCAACTTTGCCAAGACTCAGACTACAGCCGCAGCTTTACGACCAGTCAATTCAGACACTGCTGTGCAGTGAGTAGTGAACAAAAAAGTTCAACAACAGATGGTCCGTAATAGCGTGCAGATGAAGAACGGCATTAAAAGCCAACGAAATTGACTGACATGCGAAAATCTTACTCATCTCATAAACGCTAACGCTAGATTACACTTTATCGCTCTCGCTGCCCACATGGCCTCATCTTTACTAAGTCCTCTGGATTCCTTACTTCCCAGTAAAGCACTCAAGTACTGATGGGGAAGTTGAAGGGAGTGTCTTGAGCTAAGAAGTCCATGATTGCTCCGCTAATGTGGCTTGTAAATTATTCAGTACAGGCGTTAATTCGCGATCTCACAAGAAGATTAATTGCATATCGCTTACTGCCCTCCATCCCTATCGATCCATAGCAACACCCTGATCAGGCCCTTGTTTCAGACCAGGATCTGTGTGCAACACAACGCGGAGATGGCCTGAAGCATGTAGTGCGATGTTGAGGTGTCGCGATGTACTTTGGAGACAGCTGTCCGCTCAGGCAGCAGTATGTATTTCATGCGATTATGGTTTTGGCTTTGCACTGCTCTCTGGCGACTCCTTACTTCCCCCGTTTCCTATCGGTGTCGGCGCGGTTGTTGTTACACAAAAACCGAGCAAAAATCGTCAACGACGTAATCCGTGAGAGGTGTTTCGTTTCTTCGAGTGCATCGATCTCAGTGCTAGCCCAACTACACCTCTGAATGAACTCGCCATGATGTGATGGTGGGCGCCTTTGACATCGGTTCACCAGCCGACTAGCAAAGAAGGCGACTAATGGTGACAAACGGCTTTTAGTTTTCAGTGCCTAGTAGGCAATTCAAAGCGTTCGTTTTCAATGAGCGCAGTTAATGACTGAGCAAACTGTGACAAAATAAGATCTAAGAGCGAATGCACTTTGAGCAGCACAGCCGACTCGGCACGGGTTTGCCAGCCTGGTATTACGGCGGCTCAGAACACGATGAGTAACATGACAGTCGTTCGCTACCCATCATCTCTTGATGTGAAAACGCTCTTTCGGAATCAGTGTGGGTCTAGCAGACGCTCAACGAAAGATCTGCAGAGAAAGCGCAGAAGGTACCGCATGGATATTATCTGAAAGCATGCTTCTGGTTCAGACTGGTGTGGTTCTTGCACTTCTTCGCGAGTAATAATTTTGGTGCAAAATGGGCCGGCAGTAAAGAAAAAAGGAAAAAGAAACGCTCAAAACGCCGTCGAAAATGCTTGGTTAAGGGCTTGTTCTTTTTCATTGATCGTGATCCTAATGCTGTGCTCGAGGCATGGTTTAGGATCGGCCAAACCAACCCCATAAGTTTTCATAAGTTCTGTTAATGGGTGCGCGATCGCAGAGTTGAACCTACACTCGTGACTGGAAAGCGCGCGGTAACAACGCCCCAGCTCTTTATTCTGAGCCATCGCTGCCTAACTCAAGCTATGACCGACCTAACCCCGCAGAAGCCTGCATTTCATGACGTCTCAAGATACTAGCATGCTCACTCGAATCACAAAGGATGGGTGTATTGGTTAAGCAAGGGTCAAATCGTTCCGCCCTCACACCATGCTTCCGATTCTGCTCGGGGTCGCCATTGGCACACGACCTTCGCTGGATAACAAACACTGTCTTGTACATCGGCTGGCTGCGCAAGTCATTGTATAGGCTCCATCGTATTCCAAGCGCACTACGAATGTACAAATGGAAAGTAGAATGCGTGGCGCATCCCAAAAGGGACTGATCAACGGCAAATGGTTCATCCTTTTTCACCCATAGGTTCATACGGTTCATCCATTCTAAAAGCATCAAATGACTGAGAAAATCAGGAAAGCAAGTTCGCAGAATTCACCGGGACACTCTCATATCGAAGCTTCTTACTGTTGTTAAGGAAGAAGAAGTTCAATTCCTATCTTTGCTTATGTTTCTTACTCGTTTTTCATTCACATTACAGTCACAAGCCTCACGTTATCTCCGCCTCTCCGCCTTCACCGCATAGACCACCAACACGATCCTGACTATCTTGCCTTATAGCACTCGACAGACATGCGGAAAGGCAGAGTTCAAGGTTTTCAACCTGGTTGGTGCTGAAATGTATCATGAACACTGCGCCAAGAAGTAGTAGGGAACTCACCAAAATGGTGAACGGAAGCTGAGACAACTCCAGTGTTCGGAAATAGAACTGCAAATAAATGACGGAGATGCAGCAGACGATGCAACGAATGCAAGCCAGCCAACTTACCTGTATTGCCTTCAGCGATATACTAAAAAGCAAACTTAGCTAATCAAGTGGAGTGTAGAGTCAGTGCGCTCGACTTCAACTCCACCACACTCCCTAACCTGAAAAGTTCAAAACCTCTTCATATGACAAATTGCACGATGGTGGGTCAGGATGTATCACCTTATGGCACAACAAGTAACAAATAGCAGAATCAACGCGTGAAACGCAAAGAGCGAAAAGATCCTTGGTAAAGTGCCCATTTCTTCCCAACAGATAAACATGTTAGTTAATGGCCCGAGCTTCTCGAGCTTGTCTATCCCTTATCCCACAGTACTTATTTCGAAACAATGCTCTCCGGGCCGAGTAAAAGTAAAACGGAACGCACCAGAACTTCAATTTCCACCCTCCCCCTCCTCCTGCTGTAGCTAGGGAGTAAGGCTAATGCGAATCACCAGCTACTCTCGAAATCCTATTCTGAGTAGCTAGGATTTTGCAGCTCGCTTTACCCTCTCTCTAGTTTCCTATAAGGTTCTTCCCAGCAAAGTGAGCGGAGAGAGTAACCCATTTAAGGGACAGCTTAAGGGGCCTCATCAGATGTCAAAAGTACGTCTGCGAGGAGGAACGTGGTCCTTCAACAACTTGGATGGTACTGAGTCAATGCGTCCTCAGATGTTAGAAAGGGGCAAATTGGGAGGAGGAGGAGACCATGGGGGGCAGAGATCAGTGTGCGTGCTATGGCCACCTCACAGCAAACGAAGTGAGTGATATCGCCGGAATAATATTCGCATTTCACAGATGCATGAAGCTCGTCCATGCGAAACGCCTAGAAGGGGGTCCCATAGGCTTGACTGACTTAACACGTCGTATTGAGAAGCATTTGAGCAACTGCACTCAATTGCCAGGCGTTAGAGCACCCAAAGCCTTCTTACAGACCTTCAGGAACCTACTCCTGAAGCTAATCCATGGGTAGACACCACCTTTACACAGACACACTTGAACAAAAGCGAACAGAAGTCACCGCAACACACACGTTGATTACCTCGGCTCGAGAAATCGTAGTGCCGTCGCCAGGAAATGCATTCCTATACGGTATCCTCCAACCATAGTTGAGGGAGGAGGAAATGTGTGAAGCGAGGGCGTGGCCTATCGCCGCCCGCCGCCTTTTGGCCACGGCTTGCGGCAGAGTGCAGAGAGGCGAGAGTACGGACAACGGACACAGAGACGCAGAGCAGTTGTGCGATGGACAGCCGGGTGGCTGCAAGTGTGGAGCAGCAACAGCAGGAGCAAAACAACGAGGAGCAGCAACATAAGGAAGATTTACAATGGGCTGAAGTTGGATCACAACTGCGCAGAGTCAAGAGGTAACCTTCCTTCCTTTTTTGGCACTTAGCCATCTTATTTTTGTCGTCTTTTAGCCGTTCTGAACTTTGTTTACCTTCTAGGAAGTAAATAATTTGAAAGGAGTTCGGGCCCTATCTTTTTCTTGTTTGTTTATTTTCAATTTTAACATAGGTAAGCTTTCACCAGCAATCAATATAAGATTTTAAATCCGTTGTTACCTTGCTTTTATGTATTGGTAATGGCCCTGAGTGAAATCGATTGCTGGGCCATTCACATTCGATGTTGGTGTTTACCCTTCATGCCCACGTCAGACACAACAAACAGCAAAAGACCATTTTTCAGGGGAAAACTTCGAGCGCCCAGCCATGTGTCAATTAAAGAGAGCAGATACTTCAACTACTACACTAACTATTTCTTCGATTTGCTGCCAAATTCTTTGAAATCTGGTTAGTTTTTACCGATGAGTTTTGCTTAAAGATAAAGGATAAAGCATTTGCCGTTGATCAATCCCTTTTTGGGATGCGGCACGCATTCTACTTCCATTTACATTCGTAGTGGCGTTTGAATGCGATGTGGCCTATACAATGACTTGCGGGGGCCAGCCGATGTACAAGTCAGTGTTTTTATCCTCCCAGACAAGTCTGGTACCAATTAACCGACCCCGGAGGGATGGAAGGCTTGGTTGGCCCGGGCGACTCACGACCCAGGATTTGATCCCCGGACCGCTCGCGTGGTAAGCGTGCCACTTGCCACTACCATTTCCGCCCTGGTGTGCTCCAATACCACTAAAAAAAGCGTATTTTTATGAGAGAGTCAGCGAGAGACCTACCATCTTTTGTCCATTGTCAGAGCTTCCAAATTCAGTCTGAAAGTCTCGAGAAAATGTCTCCATCATTTTTTACTGGTGTGATTGATGTCGACGCCCAGCGTTTGATAGGAATGAATAAACAAGAGGCGATACCATCGGGGTTGTTCAGTATGCTCATTACTATGAACCAGCTGTTGTGGGCCAATGTGTCTCAACATATTTTTTTGCGCAAGTTCTATCTTGGTGGAAAGCTTCTCGGTATGAGTTTATCGGCAAATTTTTGCTGGTTGATGTTGCCAACTCTCCTTTAATTTGCACTTTTGTGGTGATATTCAATCGTTATCGCTTCAGAGTCTACTTGGTCATCCATTTTTATTCTTGTTTTTTCCGTTAGAGAAGACCTCGTCAACGCAGTACACTCCCGCTACTAAGACAAAATGAGTGTTGCCAGACACTGACAGTTCAAAATGCCCCCTCCGCTAGCTCGTCCTTTCTTAAGAGTTATCTGTTTATTGTTGTATTAATGATTTCATAAAAATGGGTGTTGCGGTCAACTGAGGGTGAGGTAGTCATCAACGTTTCTGTGTCAAGTTAACAGGTATTCTCACCCGAAGAGCTCTATGCATCTCATGAAGTGTGATTATATTTTTTATCCGTAGGGCAGGCACTCTTAAGCGTGCATGACGATGCGTCTAATCGTGACGCTCTGAGCCCGTAAAGCCACTTAAGGGGGTGAGTCGAAGAATGTCATGGTTCGACCTCGGTTCTTGTGATTTGTCTCAATTTGATTCCCGTTTCGAGAGACTTCACTAAATGTCCAAGGCCGTCAACCGCTGTTTGCTTTCTCTCGTTCGATTTCTTTCACGTATTGAATCACGCAACACTGTTCAAATACCGAATGGACTACGGCAAATCATACTGTATTGGAAAGAGGCAATTGATTAGCACTGTATAACATCGGATAATGAACTATTTCATCTGACACCCTATACCTAAGACCAACATACAATGCACACGAGTTCCGCGTATCTAGCCATTATTTACTAGTGGCAGAAAACAATCTAAGCACCTTGATAAAGTGTCTTTTCCGAGCCTCTAGCTACAGTCACGATATCGGTGTAAGGTAATGGCTTCTAGAAGTGTAAATGCCGGGTGGAGGCTAGTGGTTCCACTAGCACAAGCATGTTCTGGTCGTCAAATCCCTGCCCCAGCCCTGTCAGTCCCTTCACCTCTTCGGATTTTGTTGACTGGAATCGGAACCGATGAAAAATCAAAGATATCTCTTCCACATCGGCTACCTCTTGCAAAACACTAGTATGTGTGCTATATGGAGGTTAAAGGCGTGGCGTATCCCCAAAAAAGAATTATGAAGGTCGAATGCTCCATTCTTGATTGCTCACAAGAGATAAGCACAAGATCGCGCAAATTTTTCAATGCAAACCCTCTCACCATTCCAGACTCCAGAAAGACCACCAAGCGCGAGGGCGGAGAAGGGATGGGGTGGGGGTGGAGACAGGCAGCAGCAGGGGTATGTGAGCAACGTAAAAGTTAATTCCTGAACAAATTTCTGGTTTTCTAAGCAAATCCTCAGAATTGGCGAAACCTTCAAAATCCATCGTACTCGCCTCTCGAATACGAGCTCCTTCCAAATGAAACCGAGTACAACCTCTTCAAAAGTGGACATTACACATTTGAGATTCTTTCCCACTATCGCTCCTTTGACGGTCTCCTACCCTTCTTAGCGGATGCGAACTGCGTTTTTTTTCTGAGATTTGGGAAGGTGTGTAGGTCGACCAGGTCGTGGGAAGTGGATGTGATGTATGCACACACTCACGGCTACTTCGAATAGACAACTTTAAGCTTCCACACCTTCAAATGTACTGCTACCATCGAATGTGGCACTATTCAGGTGACTCAACCCACAAGCGTGACCCTGGGCCAAGGTTGACCTGCTGATTGAGGCTGCCTGGAAACGTTGGTATAAGGAAACCAAGGTGCCAGTGAACGAATCCCAGCAGCGGGTGTAAGGCCTTGCTTTCCTCTTCCGCTGTTGAGTCTTGATAATTCGTTGGCTGCTCCCCACTCTCTCCCGTTGGTCCAAATCCCTTGATTCCGACCTGTTTAGAACAAACTACTGAAAAAGTGGTTGGGTAGAGAAGTGATTGTTTTTTGGAGCTGACGTTTCCGACGGAGTGTCCTTCACATTTGTACGCTCGTCCTTTGGTGACTCAGAGCGCGCCACATCGAACATTGACAGACAACCGGCTCGGAGCGTGCCAAGGAAACCATCTGAATGATTTACAGAAACGATTATCGCCGTGAAAGGAACGCATTAACAACTTTTTATTCCTCGTTCCCTTTCAGTTCTTAGCACCACTGCCGTGTTCAAACATATCATTTTTCCACTGAACGGTCGTTCTTGTGAAATCAGTCACAATTCTAAGTTGCTTCTTCATTC